GTCCCAGCTTCTTCACCGTATGGACGATGGCCAGCACCGTCTTCTCAATGGGGGAGTACCTGAGCTCGGCCTCCCTGAGTGTCTTGCTGATGTAGAAGATGGCCTTTTGCACCCCTTCGTCCTCACGGATGAGCACGGAGCTGATGGCCGACGTGCTCACCCCTAAGTACAAGAAGAGGGTTTCGCCGGCTTTGGGCTTGGAGAGCACGGGTGGGGACGACAGGTACCTTTTCAATTCGTCGAATGCCTCCTGGCACTCCGTCGTCCACTTGAAGCTGTTGGCTTTCCGCATGATCTGAAAGAAGGGGAGTGCCCTCTCGGCTGACCTGGAGAGGAATGGTTTAAGGCCGCCAGGCGCCCCGTCAGTCGTTGTACCTCCTTGACGTTGCGGGGTGGCTCCATGTTGATGATAGCCTGCGTCTTCTCCGGGTTTATCTCGATGCCTCTCCGGCTGACCATGTAGCCGAGGAACTTGCCGCCCTAGACGCCGAAGGCGCACTTCTTGGGATTCAGGCGGAGCCTGAACTCCTTCATGATTTCAAATATCTCCCGGAGGTCGTCGGCGTGGGAGGAGGCCTGCCTCCTCTTGACGATCATGTCGTCGACGTACGCCTCCATCGTCCGGCCAAGGACCGCTCTGAAGATCTTGGCCACCATCCTAGTATAGGTGGCGCCGGAGTTTTTGAGTCCGAAGGCCATGACGAGGTAGCAAAAGATTCCCTCTGGGGTCATGAATGTCGTCTTCTCAGCGTCATCTTCATGCATGGAGATTTGGTGGTACCCTCTGAAAGCGTCGAGGAACGACATCAACTCGCATCTCGCCGTCTCGTCCACCAGCTGATCAATGTTGGGGAGAGGGAACGGGTCCATGGGGCACGCCTTGTTCAGGTCAGTGTAGTCAACACACATTCTGAACGTCGGCGGTTTCTGGGCGAGGACAACGTTGGCCAACCATGTCGGGTACTTCACCTCTTTAATGTGTTTGATTGAGAGGAGCATGGCGACCTCCCCTTTGACGAAGTCCCGCCTGTCGGCGGACAAGTAGCGACGCTTCTGCTTGACAGGCGCGGAGGCCGGATCGACGGTCAGCCGGTGAGTGATCACCTGGCGGCTGATGCCTGGCATATCGTCCGGGCCCCACGCGAAGACAACGGCGTATGACCGTAGGACGAGGAGGATGGCGTCTCGTTGGTCCTGGGGGAGTTGCTTTCCGACTCTGAGAACCCGCTCCGGCCGGGAGGTATCCAGAGGGATTTCCTCGACCTCCTCGGTCGGCTCCGCATGTGACCTCTCCTCGTCCATGGCGACGGCGGCCGTGATGGTGTCTATCCTCTGGCCTTCCCTCTCGGCCGGCCTCGTCAGTTTGAGGTAGCATGCCCTGGCTATCCTCTGGTTTCCTCTGGCGTAGCCGATGCCGTCGTTGGTGGGGAACTTCAGGCACAAGTGCTTCATGGAGATGATGGCCTCCAAGTCCTCCAGCGCTGGCCGGCCCAAGATCAGGTTGTTGGCGCACTGGAGGTTGACCACCATGAACTCCATGTCAATTCTGGCGCGGTGGGGGCCGTCACCGACCTCCACGGGGAGGACTATCGTGCCCTCGGCGTCGATAGAGTCCCCGGTGAAGCCGGATAACGGTGTCTTGATCGGCTTCAGCAGAGCTCTGTCCAGCTTCAGCTGCTTGAAGGTGTCCAGGTACATCACATTGACGGAGCTCCCCGTATCGATGTAAGTGCGGTGGATGATGGAGTCACCGATCTCACACCGGATGACGAGGGTGTCCCTGTGTGATTCCGTACCCGGAGGCAGATCCTTGTCGGTGAAGGTGATCGCCTCCGTTCGCTGCTTCTTCGGCTGGGGGGGGGGGACGTGGGACACCTCCCCAATGTAAAGGGATTGGGCCCATTTCTTTCTCTGAGTGGCGGAGTCCCCCCCAGTGTTCCCACCTACGATGAGGTGGATGTGATTCTTCTTCGGCGGGGGCTCTTCGAAGTCCTCGTCGTCGCTGAGCCTACCAATCTCCCGCTTCTTCGCAGAGTGTTCGCCCCCATGTTTGCCGGTGTTTACCCAAGTGTTCTTGCGTGGGCCACCTTTGACAAACTGGGAGAGTTCCCCCTGGCGAATAAGGCGCTCGATGGCCTTCTTCAGTGTGATGCAATCGTCGGTGTTGTGCGACGATTTCTTGTGGAACCGGTAGTATGTGCCGCCCTGCTGGATGGCAAGGATCTCCTCGGCCGGCCGAGGAGCCTGCTCGATGAGGCCGTGCTTCTCGGCGTAATCGAGGATGGTGCCGACCGGGTGGGTGAGGGTTACCCCCGGCCGTTCCAACCTCGGCCACCAGTGGCGATCTTTCTTACTCTGTCCACCAGAGCCGTGACGGCCCTGGGCACCCTGGCCGGCCGGGGACGGACCCGGGGCCGGCGAAGGATTTGTCTTCTTGGAGGGATGGCCCCCCCTCTCTCTTGTGATTGTGGAGCTCGTCGGCGTCGGCATACAAGCCTCCGCGCTGGAGCGCCTTGGCGTACGACCTCGGGGGGTCAGTGATGAGGCTCCTAGCGTACGGGGAGCTGCGGAGGGATCCCTGATACAAGGCGAGGAGGGTGCGCTCATCGGCCCCCTCGACCTCCTCGATTTCCCTCGTCCACCGATCAATGAATGACCGGAGGGACTCCTCGTGCTGCTGCTTGACGGAGAGGAGGTGGGTGAAATACTTCTTCGCGCGCTTCCTCCCGGCAAAGTGAGTGAGGAAGCGCTGGGCGAGATCCTGCCATGAGTCGATGTTCCCTTCGGGGAGCGCGTTGAACCACTCGTACGCTGGCCCCTCGAGAGTAGAGAGGAACCAACGGCAGAGGTATTCGTCGGACGCGTTCACCATCAGCATGTTGTTATGGTAACGGCTGAAGTGTTCCTGGGGGTCTGATCGGCCGTCGTAGGACTTGATGGCGTTCCCCCTGTACTTCTCCGGGATGGGGGCCGAGAGGACCCTGTTGGTGAAAGGGGTCCTGGTCCTGACCTGGATGATGGGGTCACCTCGCCCCTCGGCCAGCTCCCTCTCCAGGGCGCTAACCTTGTTCATGAGCGCGTTGAGGCCGGGGTCGTTGGAGGCGCCGGCCGTAGGGATGTTGGCCGACTGCTTGGCCTCCATCTGAGCCAGCCTCCTTTCCAGCTGGGCGATGACCTCGTCCCGGGGGTCCCTGGCGGCCGCAGCGGCGCCCGGCTGGTTCCTCATGCGCTCGTTGTGAGCCGCGTTGATCTGGTGACGCACGTCATCCTCGTGCAACTTTCCCTTGCCCTTGTCCGGGCGGGGCTGGTCCGCTGTCCGGGACACAGACCCCAAGCTTTCCCTCGGCGAGCCAGGACGAGGCTCACCAATCCGTCCCGCCATCCTCTCCGAAACCGGACGACAATGCGTGTCACCTAGCCTATTGAAGGCAGAGGCTTTTCCACGCGCTGGGGTCTGCCCAGGCCGAAGAGGGGAAGCAGGGTGGGAGTGGGACGACGCCGTGTCCTGGGGCACCACCCCCTCATCGTTGCCTATCTGGACGGCCAACGGTTGGGGCTGAGGAGGTTGAGTGACGTTCCCCCCGGTCCTTGGCAAGAGTGCGCTGAGGACGGTGGGGTTCTAAGCCAGGCTGGCGATGATGACCGACAGCGCGACCTGGACCTGCGGATCCACGGACGGAGAGGCCGCGGCCATAGGCTGGGCCGGGGCGTGGTCCGTCTTCTCAGCTCGTTTCTTGTCCAAGCCGAGGCGGGCATCAGGGGCTCCGCCGTTGAGTTGGTTGCGGAGGTCTGTCGTGAGGTTGAAGGCCTCCTGGAAGAGGTCCCCTCCGCCGACCTGGTCGGCCGTGGCGTCCTCATCGTGCTCCCTGGGCTCTTGGTCCTCAGGGATGGCTTTGCTGACGAGGTTGCGGTTTGACTTAGTTCTCCCCATGATCAGTGGTTAGCTGTGCTTGGTAGCGATGAAGGGTGCTAACTTGATTGTTCTAGCTCTCAACGAGAGCACCAAATGATAGAGTATATCTAGAGAGAAGTGAGAGCTAGAGAGAGAAGTGCAATAATATGCTTCAATAGAATGATTTTGTAACCCCTATGAGAGAAGTGCAATAATATGCTTCAATAGAATGATTTTGTAACCCCTATAACTACTCCCAAGGGGAGTATTTATAGAGAAAATACAGGCTGGGCTCCCAAGCCTTGGGCTTGGGAGGCCCGTTTACAACTGGACCGCTACTGGGCCGAATACAAAGCCACTAATGGGCTGTACAAATGAGTAAGTGTAAAATCTGGTTCTGGGAGGTCTTCGTGGCCGACGAGGGCGTGGCCGACGAGGGCACGGCCGACGAGGGCACGGCCGACGAGGGCACCCGGGTTCCTTGGGCTCAGGACCATAATATGAGTTGGCCCCTTTTCGGCCGACGGAGGCGTCTTGGCCGACGAGGGCGCCACTTTGTGTCTTGTGCTTTCTGTTCTTCCGAGTATGTGGGTCCGGGGGCTCAGACCCATATACTCCATCAATGACGATTGGGCGACAACGACAACGGAGAATAGTGGCGGTGACGACAGATGGCGATGCTGGTGGGCCTACAAGGATGGAGACGCCGATGTGGGAGGCAGCGGCGAGGGCAGATGGCCGGAGGTAGGCGGTGCATGCGAGGAGTGTTTTTCCATTTGGTGTTGCCCAAAATTTTGACTCACAAGCCTCGTGCAGCGTGCAATACCTTCTTAAGCATTCATTGAAGTATTATAACAGGTGTGTTTTTGTCCAATAAACTATTTTTCGTCCTACAAAACATACTTTCCATTTAAACTCCTAAATGTGCAATTAAGTTTAGGGATAAGGCTAAAAAATGATCCTAAGGTTATTTAGGAAGTTCAGATTAGACACTAAGCTTTTAAGTGGACCAAATTAACACATAATCTACTAATTTGGAGTATGTTTGGCCACTCACTTATATTTCCGTCTAATCCCACGTTAACAACCCACGCCTCCTCCGTTATTAGCGTTTCTTCACCATCTTGGCCGACTCCATTGGCCGACTCCCATTCTTGCTTCTCAAAATCTCAATTTCACTTCCTCGTCGCCAAACACTCTCGCTTCCTCACTGCGGAACGAACTCTTTCTTCTCCAAGCCTTCACTTTCCTCTATCTTCATTCTTCAATTTACATCTTCATCTCGTCCCGTCGAGGCCTCCAAGTGGTCCCTCACCCTTCTCCTTCCACCCCCGTCTCACTCTTCTTTGCCCACAACTCGTCTCGCCTTTCTCCGCTCACTTCTAGGAAAAATCATCTCTCACGGAGCCCAGGACTACAATTCCATCAGCATCGTATACTTGGAGGAAGCTATTAGTGCTATCCAAATTGATTCTCCAACTTCACTCCCTCGATCTGGTTTCATTTAATCATTTATTCTTCTATTAAGCCAGATTCAGTCCAACCATACCATTATTTTCCTCCAAAATCAAGGAAACCCATACCTTGACCATCAGTTCACATATTGTTGTTTCAAAAGAGTATGGGTGAGAAATATTACCCGAAAAAGGATGAACCCCTCAATCTAGGTTGACCAAATAGAATTAATTCACAAACGAGAAGCACGGTTGACAATCAATTCCTCCCCTGCTACTTTGTGCATTACCATTTGCAATTGCAGTTCAAGTGATGAGCCTTGCAGATCCACCATAGTCAAAACAGTGTTTTGGACGAAGAGGAATGAGGTATATGTGTTGGGCCTGGCTTTTCAAAAGAGCTGGCTGCTATCTATGGAGTCTTATAAAGTTTAGGGGTCCGCCGAGGAAGAAATTGGAGCTGACGTGTTTTTAATGGGAAGAGAGACGGTAACCTGATAATTGACGGGGTAAAGCCGTTCATTTAAGTCTAACATGAGGAGTGTCCAAATGTGATCTAAAAACGTATAGTTTATGTTAATTTGGTCCACTTAAAAGCTTAGTGTCTAATCTGAACTTCCTAAATAACCCTAGTGTCATTTTTGAGCCTTATCCCTTAAGTTTATTATTACTCCTATTTGAGTAATTTACTCTTATTATTATGTTCGTATAAGGTAAGATAAAGGCTTTATGAGTTTGGTAGACCAAGCCCAAAATGTAAAAAGCGGTGGAAAGTGCAAGTTCTGACTGGTGTTGGGCCTTAACACTTTAATGGCCTTTATTGCTCTTATTGCAATTGACCAATAACGGTCACCATGTCTTTAAACGGTCACCAGATTGAAATTTGAACCCCTTCCCAAACAAAAGACTATACGACACTGTATACAGGTCCGCTGCTCGGCACGATTGTTGATTACACTCACTAGCTTTCGTCTTCTTCTCTCAGTGCATCCAGAACATCTCATTCTTCCAAAATCTGCGAATTCCATGGGTACTGTTCTCCCAGACCCGGGATCCCATATCCCAGACCCGCTTATTTTGTGTGGGGGAAAACCTTCGGGTCAAGAATCACTAGGTGAACCCGCGACGGAGAAAGATGAAACAATGCAGTTTTCGAATGAATCTATGGCGTGCGGTTCAGGCGCTGGGGGTGTCCCAATTGGAACACCATGGCAAGAAGCCGTTGGCGTATCCGCAGAGCTGCAAGAAGAATTGACGTTCTTGGCCGAATCTATGCTCTGCGATTCGGGTTCAAGACTTCTCCCTAGCGGTTTTACCAAATCCTCTTGTACAGGTCGCTAAATTTTTATTTCTGATGACTTTGCAACAACTGTTTAGTTTAGAGGGGTTTTCTCTAGAATTTGCTTCTACCTGTTAATTGAGAAACTGAGCAAAAGATAAAAATTACTGCTTGAAAATGTTTTGAATCTCAATCCTCTTTAATTCTCAGGTAATGATTGAATTGAAAGTAAAATTGATCGGAAACTGGTGAAAAGAATTATTGTACTCCGTAATATGTATGAACTTTCTTTAGAATTTCTAGTCCAGTCAAGAAGAAATCATGTTATGCTGACTTCACTATATTTTTCTGTTTAGATGTAGAAGAAATTGTATGCTTCATTAATGCCGGGGCGGATACTTTGATAGAATCGGATTCAAGCATTACCTTTATGCCTGACAAATATTTCGAAGGAGGAAATACATTTCAAACAAAGGAGTTTATTGCTGAGGGTGGAGATTATCCCTTCATATATCAGACGGCACGGTTAGGAGCCTTTACCTACCTGGTTCCTGATCTTCTTCCTGGGAAGTACGTTGTTGATCTTCATTTTGTGGAGATTATAAACATTAATGGGCCGAAAGGGATGAGAGTGTTTAATGTGTTCCTTCAAGACGAAAAGGTTAATTGACGGGGAACAAACTATTGAACCACTTAATACACCTTTCTGTAAATATCAGATAATTTAAATCTGGGATATTTATATTATTATTATATGTTTAATTGCAGGTCCTTTCTGATTTTGACATCTTCTCTGTTGTTGGAGCCAATAAACCACTGCGATTAGTTGACTCTATGGTTTCTATCAAAGATGATGGTTTGCTTGCTATCAAGTTTGAGAGTATTATCGGAAGTCCTACAGTTAGTGGCATTTGCATAAGAAGAGCTCCAGAAGTGTCAGGTAAGTCATCTTTTCAGTAATCATATTTTTACCATAGATGTGTGAATGTGTGGATAACTGCAATTAGAAGAAGGAAACTAAAAATAATCTCTTATGATACATTTTCATTATTGCAGCTACTCGGGCAAAACAAGAGCATCTTACTTGTACAAATTGTGCTGCTGAGATAAAAATACCATCAGCTCAGGTAAAATCGAGTGATTTATGTTTTGTGAAGTTAGGCATTTCTCATAGACTTTACTGAGTATGATTTGGAGCTAATGCAGAAAAAAGCTATGCGAATGCTATCAACAGCCAAGTATGAGAAACAGATAGCAGAGCTAAGTGAACTATTGCAGCGCAAGACAAAAGAATGCTACCAATCATGGATGTCTTGGTCTACAGCTAATCAGCAGCTTGATAAGGTTAGGACGGAACTTGACAAAAAGATATTTCACACATACTCCTTGGGTAAGACACCGTTATATGTTCTTCATTTGTATTCTTATCTTTTTTAATGTGAAAGTTATATCAATACAGTACTATTTCTGGTTCCTGTAATGATTATTATGGGAAATATTTAGCTGATTTTTTCTATTGAAAAAATCCGATTGAAATTCACCTTCAAGTCAGTTGGAAAGAATAAAAAATTAAAAAGGAACAGCCCTTTTCTTTTTATGTAAAGCGAAACACATATTGAACTCTGGCCTTCTTTGCTTGATGAACACTATTTCAATGTATTTATTCACTTTGAAGAATAGTTTGAGGCTGAAAAACTCATTTTTACTAACATAAATTTTTCTATGATAAAAACCAGAGCTTCTAGACTTTAATAATTGTATGCTATTCTAGTTTGACGGAACCTCAAGAGATTTTCCCATATTGTAGATAAAAGTATGGAGGAGAAGTCTTTCAAGTTGTCAGAGATCTCAAATAGGTATGAACATGATAAACAAGTGTGGTGTGTGGCAGTCAATAAGCTAGAACAAAAAGTAAAGGTAATTCCACGACTTCAATTATGATATGTAAAAAAAACCTTGAATCTTTAATGATGTCTTATGAATGCAGTGCGCAACACTTTGCAGATTATGAAACAAGAACATTCTCAGCTATCGCGTGAAGCTCACGAGTGTGTCAGTTCAATCCCTGACTTGAACAAAATGGTCTTTGCAGTTCAATCACTTGGTTTGTTTTGGCTGCACTGTTTGTCATATATACCCTCTGCACACAAATACACATACATTATATTTCATAAACTGAGTGGATTCAATGCAGTTGACCAATGCGAGGATCTTAAGCTGAAGTACAATGAAGAGCAAGCAAAGAGAAGAAAGCTCTTTAATGAAGTTCAGGAGGCTAAAGGTACACACATCTATCTAAAATTGCTATATGACTAAAGCTCCAATTTGCCTAATTATTCCTGTTGCTACGAATTGCAGGAAATATTAGAGTATTTTGTCGGTGCCGTCCTTTGAGCAGAGCAGAGGTCTCTGCAGGGTGTTCATTGGTGGTGGACTTTGAAGCAGCAAAGGATGGAGAACTTGCAATTATAAATACCAAAAAGACTTTCAAGTTTGACCGTGTTTACACGCCAAAAGATGATCAAGGTCTGAATATTATGTATAATAATAAAAACAGAAAGAGGCAACAGGGTGTTTGATTATTGTTTTTAAATTATTATTGAGTGTCTTATTCGTTTTTGTTATGTTAACAGCTGATGTATATGCCGATGCGTCACCTATGGTGATTTCAGTATTAGATGGGTACAATGTATGCATTTTTGCTTATGGGCAAACGGGAACCGGGAAAACATTCACAATGGAGGGTAACAAGGAGAACAGGGGAGTCAATTACCGTACCCTAGAAGAATTGTTCAAAATTTCAAAGGAGAGGAGTGACACTTTCACCTATGATATATCTGTCAGCGTTCTTGAAGTCTACAATGAGCAGATTAGGGACCTTTTGTCTACACCATCCACATCTTCATCAAAGAAATTGGAAATTAAACAAGATTCTGAAGGGCTTAATCATATTCCTGGAGTAGAAGAACCTAGAGTTGAGAATATTAATGAAGCGTGGAGTGTGTTGCAGGCTGGAAGTAGTGCACGGGCTGTGGGGTCCAACAATGTGAATGAGCATAGTAGCCGTTCTCATTGGTAAATATATATTAGAGGTCCTTTGTACTTTGAATCTTTAGTGTGCATCTCCTGAAGATTAATATATTATTATATTTTCATCATTATTGTTGTTTGTGGTTTTAGTATTCTTTGCATAATGGTGAAAGCCAAGAACTTGATAAATGGAGAGTGCACAAAGAGCAAGCTGTGGCTTGTGGATTTGGCAGGTAGCGAAAGACTTGCAAAGACTGATGTGCAGGGTGATCGCCTTAAGGAAGCTCAAAACATCAACAGATCTCTTTCAGCTTTAGGAGATGTGATATCGGCTTTAGCTAATAAAAGCAGCCACATTCCATACAGGTTTCTACTCTTGTATCTTTACTTTCAGCTCGGGAGATGAACCCGAGCTTTGTTTTGAGCTCAAAATACACTTGGGGAAAGAGAGTAGGGAGGAAAATATAGGGGAAATTTGGAAGGAAAGAGAATGTGATAGAACAACTTTCCGTGTACCCCCCCCCCCCCCCCCCCCCTCCCATTCCCTAGCATTTTCCAAGATAAGCATGTTCCAATAGATATATTCTAACTTTTATTTTTTATCTTTAGGAACTCCAAGCTGACACATCTACTCCAAGATTCATTGGGTAAGTGTAGAAGTGATGCTTTGATTTCTCAAGTTGAGTGAAATGCAGTTTTTACAATTATCATACATCAGTTTCCATAGCCTTCCTATGTTTTCTTGAGGCTATTTTTTTTTGCAGGTGGTGACTCCAAGGCATTAATGTTTGTACAAATTAGTCCTTCAGACAAAGACTTGAGTGAAACTCTGAGCTCAGTTAACTTTGCTACCAGAGTCCGAGGGGTCGAGCTGGGCTCCGCAAGAAAACAAATTGATACAAGTGAACTCCAAAGAATGAAAGCAATGGTATGCTTGGGTGGTGTTGACTCAGTATCATTTTCATTTTAATTTACCCCAGTGCCGAAAAGGCTCCCACCTACGGTGGGGTAAGGGGGGTCGGATGTACGCAGTCTTACCCCTGTACTAAAGCATAGAGAGACTATTTCCGGATGACCCATAGTGAAAATCCCGTCCAAAATTGCATGGACTGACTGCTGCTTCATAACAAAGAAGCGCAGACAGTTTAGTGAGTCATTTTGCTTTATTCCATCATAATCTCAAGCCAAAAAATAATGAATCTTTGGCTCCTTTGCAAATGATGGAAGGAATTTTCAATAGTCTTCTTTTTCTTCAATTGTCTTGTTCTTTAAACTTCTGTTTCTGGCAGCTTGATAAGGCACGTCATGATTCTAAATCCAAAGATGAGTCCTTGAAGAAGCTTCAAGAAAACTTGAAGATCATAGAGAACAAGAACAGAGAGAAGGAACAGGTTTGGAAAAGCCAACAAGAAGAAATCAAGGAATTGAAAAGTCAACTTGAATTAAAGATGTCATTGCATTCCCAGTCTGAAAAACAGGTGTTGCATATATCCGATAGATTGAGGGGTAGTGAAGAGACGTGTTCTACTCTTCAACAACAGGTTAGTTGATTGGTGGTTGCCTTTTAGTTTCGTGTGATATTCTAAAAGTTAGCTTTTATTTTATCAATATTCGGTCTGATATTTTATTCTCTTCGTTGCTGAAGGTAACTGAACTAGAGAAGAAGATGAGGGAGCAAGAGCAGTTAGGTTATGAGAATTACAAAAACAAGGTCTAATAAATTTGACAAATTTGAAAAATTATACCCTTAATGATTTTTGGTTAATTTGCACAGCATTTTTTCCTTTTTGTCTAATATAATTTCTTGGTGCTTGGTAAAACAGGTAAAGGATCTTGAAAATAAGCTGAAGGAACAATTACAAGAATCGGAGTCTCATTCTATCATTCATCAACTCAAGGTTCCCTACTAGGCTACTTACTATACTACACCTTTGAAAATGCATCGGAAAATGTTTTTTTTTTAATTTTCTTTACTTACATTTGAATTTATCAATGTGTACATTATAACAACAAATAAGTAAAATGAGTTTGAATAAAGTTCTAAGAAAGATTTTCCCTTAAATTTTCCCTCATTTTTCTTTCCCTAATATTATTCGGGAGTCCTAATGAAAATATTGAAGAGTGTTATAGGGGTTAAGGAGGAAGAACAGGAGAGAAATTTGGAATGAAAGAAAATGTTATGAAAGTAGAGTTCAAACTCAATAATTCTTTTTTGAATACGACAACATCCAAACCTTAGTCCGAAAATATTTTGGAGTCGGCAATAATTCCTTTTTGAATATTCATTAAAATTCGTATTTATTTATGTGTTGCAATAACTCCAAACATTAGAAAACGACCTTGCATTGCTTTTTATGGGATCCAACCAAACATAGCCTAAGAGTTGCTTTCCATGTTTCTTCAGGTTGAGGAGGTGGAGAAGAAACTGAGAGAACAGGAAAAGAAGTCTGAAGAACTAGAGAAGAAACTAAAAAATGAACAGGAAAATAACCACAAGTCAACTTTACTGCTGCAAGAAAAGGTACAGTGCTAGTAATTCTGCACAACCTCTCCCCTCCATTTGCAACGTTGATTTCCACACTAATCGTGTACGTGGATGAATTAATGCATGTGTACTAATATAGATTAAGGAACTGGAAGAGAAGGTGAAGAAGGGTAAAAAAGAGCATACAGATGAGTCGCGTGTAGATGAAACAGAAGACGACCTCCATATTCTCAAAAACTCGAATCATGTCAACTGCCAGCAGGACATAATATCAGTTCAAAGGGGGAAACGGCTGTCGACTGCAAATAGTGAAGCAGAAGACGACCTCCACATTCTCAAAAACTCGAATTATGTTAACTGCCAGCAAAAGGAAGTAATATCAGTTCAAAGGGGGAAACGGCTGTCGACTGCAAATAGTGAAGCAGAGAACAATATTCCACCAAGCAGCAAAAGGAAGGAACATGAAAGTGCTGCTCTGCATGAAGGGGTGATGAGGAGGAAACGGATATTGAAAACCGAAGTGGAGAACAATGCATTTTCTGTTACTAGTGAAAGAAAGGGAGGCAACAGGAAATCTGATCCTCCAAACCTGTCCATGGGTGGTGGTGGTGGGGGTGGGGGTGGGACTGTGAAACCCCCATCTAAGCCAAGCTCAACTTCTGCAGCTCAGAGGACTTTGCGTAGCAATGCTGCAAGCAGAGGAGATCCAGTTAAAGAGAGGGATTCCAAGAAAAGGATCTGGTCTAGATAATAACATGGTAAATAAATTTGATCCATTTAAATTTAATGTACAATTCACATACGCTGTAGTTTTTTACTAGTAAGTTCTATTTGTGAGCATTACAATTCTACACCTGAATATTTAGCAGGCGTAGATTATATTAAGCACGCACCAATTCACAATTAAACTGGAGTTTTCAATGCTTTCATCATCATGGAATCGTGTTATGCTCTTCTTTTTCTCCATTCCGGTCTTGAAGAAAGTACCTCTCTTCAAAATGAAGCTACGCATTAGTCTTGGTAATAATAACAAATTGGATAAAAACGAAAGACATTTAACTAAAATGTAATGAAATTGATAAAATAGTGAGTTTATGATGTTCATCATTACTATTTATTATGATCTGATCCGACTGATCGTGTTCTGTAATTACTATAGTGTGGTGTTTTGTAATTACTATAGTACCTGGCATATTATATACTCTCTATCCCGAAATTAACTTCTCCATTTCCTTTAATTTACTTCTCATTTTCCTTTTCGTCTCGTAACAAAGGTTACACTTCGATTTCAGACATAGGGGTACCAAGAAAAAGTGCAAGCGAAAAATGAAAAAGTGCAAACTTTACACTTTGCACGTTAAGACCACTTTTTATTTGAACCACCCCCTATATATATAGGGGTGAGATCACATACAAATAATGTAAAGATGCACTCTTTGAATTTCAGTATGCAATACAAATAATGTAAATATGAAACTGCTAGTTTATGGCTTGAATAATATGAAACACGTTGAACTTCAATGTGCAATACAAATAATGTAAAGATGATTTGAATGGGAGGACTAGTTTGTATGTGATCACACCCCTGCATATTTAATTATTTTTACTGCATATTGAAGTTTAAAGTGATGCATATTATTGAGTTTGTAGGTTAGTATTTTAAGGATGGTTTGTATTTGATCTCTTATATATATATATATATATATATATATATATATATATATATATATATATATATATATATATATATATATATATATATATATATATATATATATATATATATATAAGAATGAATAACATGATCTTAGGAGATAAATAAGAATGAATCTGGACCGTTAGATTTGCTTTAAGTGAAATTCAGTGTGCATTAGATGAAACTGTAATGTGCATGAGATGAAATTAAAATGTGCAGCACAAAAGATACGATGCAGAGACATTATGTGACATTGAATTGTGCATTAGGTGAAATTGTAATGTGCACTAGGTGAAACTGAAATGTGCAGAATAAAAAGTACGATGTGATGTTATTTTTGTACCTTTTATTTCACACATTTCAGTTTCACCTAATGCACACTTGAGTTTAAATTTTTATTCTGCACATTTCAATATCATTTAATGCACATTTCAGTTTCACCAAATGCACAATTCAGTTCCACATAGTACAATCCAACGGTCCAGATTCATTCTCATTTCTGAATAGGAGTTCGTTCTTAGCGGAACCGCTATATATATATATATATATATATATAGTGCGGTTCCAGTGAGAACGATGCTTAACGTGAGAACATGAGAACACTCACATTTTAATCAACGTGATACACAATGGAGCTATTCTGTTGCACATTTTCAATTTGCTCGAATTAAGCCTATTCAAATAAACACAGTGGCATTTTGGTAAATATTGTGAAAATGTGAAAATGTGCAATATACAAGCTTCGTTGTGCAACACGTTGGGGTAAATGTGGTGTTCTCACGTTCTCACTTTAAGCATTGTTCTCATTTGATCTTTATTATATATATATATATATATATATATATATATATATATATATATATATATATATATATATATATATATATATATATATATATATAGGGTTGGGTTCTAATAAGAAAACATCTTAACGTGAGAAGTGAGGAGCTTCACATTTGTCTTTTTCTGGTGCACTTTTTCGCTAATCTGATGCACTTTTTGCGATGATAGAAAAGTTCCGATTAATTACGGATATGCCACCGCGTCTAGCATCACTTTTTAAATATTTTTTGCACTTTCCTGTGCACGTTTTTGCTAATCTGATGCACAGATCTTAAAATGAACGCACCAGATGCATTCTCACTTCTTACGATAAGCACTCTTCTCATTTGATCCTTATTCTATATATATATATATATATATATATGTGTGTGTGTGTGTGTGTGTGTGTGTGTGTGTGTGTGTGTGTGTGTGTGTGTGTGTGTGTAGGGGTGGGATCACATACAAACTATGCTTAACTTACTAACCTACAAACTCAATAATATGCAACACTTTGAACTTCAATATGCAGTACAAATAATGTAAAGATGCACTCTTTGAATTTCAATATGCAATACAAATAATGTTAATATGAAACTGTTATTTTATGGCTTGAATAATATGAAACATTTTGAACTTCAATGTGTAATACAAATAATGTAAAGATATTTGAATGGAAAGACTAGTTTGTATGTGATTCCACCCCTGCATCTTTAGTTACATTATTTTTACTGCCTATTGAAGTTCAAAGTGATGCATATTATTAACTTTGTAGGTTAGTATTTTAAGCATAGTTCGTATTTGATCTCTTATCTATATATATATATATAGAAAGTATAGCTACATACGCAATTAGGATGGAAGCGGTGTAGATTGGACTGAACAACACGCATGCATGCATGCATTTCACGCAGCCCATCACACCGGCCGGCCGTTCATTCATCGAAGAAGACACACCGGGCCAGCCAGCCAGCCGTTTACTATATATACGTATAGTAAATATGAAGCTTCACTTCTAATCCATGCATATGTACGTATATCTAACCAATCCGGCCTGGCGATCACGTTATTTACGCATCCATCCTACCGTATAATATATATACTTCATAGTATATGCTATGCTATCCGCTTAGCTTTTTTGTCACACCTCTCCCTATCTTCCGTTTCATATATATGAAGTAGTTATTATGACACCACGCCGCCGTCTAAGTTTTAGCAATAAGCCAGCCAATGCTGTTGTCATATGCATGTTTCTTTCGATATTCAAATAACAATATACATTGCACTTTAATTTAAAATGCATCATATATATCACGCATTCGTGTGTATGCATCTCGATCTAATGATGAACAGTTTTAATAATTTGAAGAAGCTAGACTTAAAATCTTCTATTTTGATTGAGAATATTATCGGAAATAGGATTAAAAAAGGTTTGAAAATTCCAAAATAGGAATGTCATGTTTTTTATTCCCAAAATAGGACTAATTACTGCCATGTTTTGGCAGTAACAGACTTCAAACATGATAGTATTTTCTAACTTGACAATACTTACTCCTATTTTGGAAATAAAAAACACGAGAGTCCTATTTTGGAATCTTTATCTTTATATAATATAAAGTAACAGTGGGTGCACAATTGTTGGAGGAAAAAATTCCGCCCAAAATAAGGGCAAAATAGGGAATTAATGAAAAAATAAATTTGGTAATTAATTGTATTAAGTGAAAGGTAGGAAAGAAATATATTATGCATTGATCAAGCATGATATTTACACGAATATTTAGAGGAATGTTGCCATATATGCTCAGCTCGCTATATTTATGATGCCCACCTAATAGCATATGAATTTTTCCATAAAAGTTCTTTTAAAAATTATTACCTTATTTCTTCTATAAATAAATAATGAATATATCTACATTAAATAGACTATATTACGTATAACGTCTTTGAACAAAGAGTTCTAAAATTATTATGATCCACTTTTTAATTATGATGCCATTTGTAATGATAATATCTGTATATGATTATTGCCATAAAAAGTTTTGCTTTAAAGTAATCCTGCAATATTATCTTATCTTCTATAAATAACTAAATATATACCTGTTACAAATTGTAATATAAAAAAGTTGTTAATTTTTTTTATCGTTATTTATCAATTGCAAAGTATATAGTAAGAAGCAATCATTATTATACATTACGGAGTATTTAATTAAGAAAATACGAAAGAAAACAAAGTTGATCCCAACTTTGGTAACTAATTGCACATTAAATAAGAATATGAAAATTATATGTTAATCTATCATGCTCATTCTAAAATAAATAATGTTAGGGTCCTAATATTGAAATGAGTTTTCTCTTCCAATAAAATTTCTCTCCCATTAAATAGTGGTAATATGAAAGTAAAAGGGTGAAGATATAACTTTCGTAAGATATTATTTTCTTTCAAATTTAATACGACATGTATTAAAATGAAAACTATGTAAATTAAAAAGTTTTACTACGTAGTTCAGTAGGTCCAAAGTATACGTAAGATAGGTCCAAAGTTTTTCAGTAGTATACTGTATACGTAATTTTTAATTTACTTTTGAGGTCTGTAAGTTTTAATCGACGATTAATCTAAATGTTATGTTGGGAGAGACGAACTTGGCTTTAACACAAATCAGGTCTCATAGTACAAAGTCGGGGCATTTACTATGGCCTTATCCCTCAGATTAATATCTTTAATTTAATACGACATGTATTAAAATGAAAACTATGTAATTGAGCATCACGTACAATGGAGTAAGAGCATCTCCGATGCTACAATGTGCACGGTGCACATGTGGCAATGAGAGATAGACACAAATGATTAAATTTTCGGCTTTCTCTTTCCTTTCCACGATCTTATATGTTTTTGGTAAGTTTTTCTTAACAATGTCAATCACAATGTTTAGATGAGATATTCTATTTGTTATTTTTAATTGGCTATTTCTCATGCCACGTATGCACAGTTCACATTTTTGCATTGGAGATGCTATAAGACTATAAGACGAATGTCATGATAAGATAGGAAAAATTGCATTTTTGCTCCCTCAATTAATTAGTTGTCGTATTGATCGAAAGTTCAGACTCGTATTTCTGAGATTGTAAATGACAACCTCAATTGACTAATGTGTTGTAAATGACATACTTGTCATTTGTAATCCAACCAACATCGTCTACTCTTCTATTTTAGCAGAATTATCTACAGAGTCATCTAACAAATTTAGAGACCATGTTCTAAACACTAAAATGGGGCTCACATAAGAATTAAAATCACATACAAATAATAAAAAACCCACAAAGTTCAACAAAATTAACAATGTCAATAACAAAAGTGAAAGAAGGCCAAATTAGCAAATACTCCCTCCGTCTCTAAATGTTTGTCACACTTTGACTTCACAAGTTTTAAGGAGATGAATTTGACTTCACACTGTAGCGACACTGTTTCACACTGTAGCGGCACTGTTTGGCACTATTTGGCACTGTTTGCACTGTTTGACACTGTTTGGTATAGATTTGTTTACCAAATAAGGAAGTTTAAAAAGTATGACAAACATTTTGGGACATCCGTTTCGGGAAAGTGTGACAAACATTTAGGGACGGAGGGAGTATGTCGCACAACGTGCAGGATTGGACATGGTCGTGGTCGTAGACTCCTAGTTCCATAAAATTTCATAGTCCAACACGTAATTAGAATTCTAATATGCAATAATCCACAGGGAGATTTGCAATTTTAGTCACGTAACTTTCGGCTGTTATCGTTTTCGGTCATGTAACTTTAAGTACTTGCAAATTTGGTCCTGTAACTAATAAATCTTTGTAATTTAAGGACTTGTCACCGGAAAGTACACTTTCCGGCAGAAAAGTCCGACGCCGGCGACATCTTTTCCGGTATGCTATTGTAGGTATCTTCCACCTTCTTTCTTGGAAGTTGCCAAGAGACACCTTAACATGGAGGCACCTTCTTGGAAAGAGCTCTCCAACAAATAGGTGTGGGGGAAGATATGGAGATAACTAGGAAGCTTGGATGCAACTTCCTCATGTCTCCAAACCAGCCCTATAAATAGAGTGCTCCATTGTTGTTCATAGTATCAGTTTAGAAAGTGAGAAAAGTGTGTGAAGAGTGAAATACACTTAGTGTAGAAGTGTATTGGTGAGGATTGGTTTTTTGTAATAGTTGAGTGTGAGAGTTTGCTCCTCCTATTGTAATTCTGTTCTTGATATTGAATAGAAGAATTTTCCAATCCCAACAAGTGGTATCAGAGCCAGGTTGAGTTTCCATACACTGCTTTCTCATTTTCAGATAAATTTCTACAAGTTAGAAAATCGTGATTTTTCAAGTTGCTCGGAATCAGCATCTGATCATACCGTTAGATTCGTCTCGGCGAGACGAGAAATCTGGTATTTTTGGGGATTTTTTTGGCCACCGGAAGAGGCCGTACGCGCTGCCGGAAAACTGCCTGCATCATCACTGCGTCATCACGCAGTCCAGAGGAAGAAGACGATCCACGCCAGCTGCCACGTCATCGCCACGTTGGACCACGTCAGTGACACGTGGTGCCGAGTCATCCGCCACGTCATCCACCCGAGCCGTCCGCTGTGAGCCACGTGAGACGCCACGTGGCTACACGTCATCGCCACGTCAGCGAGGGAGCAGAGCCACGTCATTCGCCTGCTGGGCTGCAGGCTGGGCTGCTGCCTGAACCGGACCGAACCGGTTCGTGCTTTTGGAGGCCGGTTCACCCGTTTCCAGACCAGTTTTGGACGAGGTCAGACCGGTTCTTACCATTTTCGGCCATTCCGGATCCAACGGTGAGCTCCGTTTGTCCAAATTCGGCTTCGAAAATAAGGTACGAGATATATAGAGCGTTTTATTATGGATAAATCATCGTCGGACATCATGATTGCGCTCACATCCACAAACTACAATATGTGGAAGCCTCGGATGGAGGATTTGCTAAATTTGAGGGATTTAGCGGATCCTCTTGATAATAATGGTGTGAAATCGGATAAAAAGACGGATGAAGAATGGACAAATATGAATCGAAAAATTGTCGCAAAAATTCGACAATGGATAGATCATAGTGTGTTCCACCATGTTGCTCAAGAACAAAGTGCTTACACACTATGGGAGAAGCTTGGTAGCATGTATCAAGCAAAAACTGCCCGAAATAAGACGTTACTAATGAGGAGATTAGTAAACCACAAATTACGTGGGGGTATTTCAGTGTCAGAACACACCAGTCAATTCCAGGATCTTGTGAATCAGTTGAGCCCCACCGGATGGGTTCTCAAAGATGAAGAGCAAGCGATACTACTCTTGAGCTCTCTACCTGACAGCTGGGAGACTCTTGTTGTCACTCTCAGTAATTCTGCTCCAAATGGGAAGGTGACTATGCAGATGGTCACAGATGTCACTCTCAAAGATGAAGGAAGGAAGCCGGAACGGAACAATCATATGTCCTCATATCAGAAACTAACAGACGAGGGGGAGGCAGAAATGGAGGAAGAAGTCGAGGTCGAGGTAGAGGTCAAGGTCAAAGTAGAGGAAATTCTCAAGTTCGCGGAAGATCACAAGAGAGAGGTATGTCCTTTGAAAACAATACTTGGTTCGAAGGATATTGCAATTACTGTAGTAATTATGGACATATGAAAAGAGATTGTAGAAAGTTTCTACGAGAGAAGCCACAGACGAGTCAAAATACTAGCCAAGAAGATGGTGAGACCATGGTTAGTTTGTCATCAGACGTGTGTCTTGTTACACATGGTGAACAAGAATGTTTACACGTAGGCACTCATGATGTTGAGTGGGTGATTGATACAGCCGCATCATTTCACGCCACTCCACACCAGAACTTATTCACAACTTATAAGTCCGGAGACTTTGGAGCTGTGAAGATGGGAAACACCAGTTTCTCGAAGATTGTTGGCATCGGTGATGTGCACATAATAACCAATGTCGGATGCGCACTTGTGTTGAAAGATGTTCGACACGTTCCGGATCTTAGATTGAATCTTATCTCCGGTACAGCTCTGGATCAACAAGGATATCTTAACCGATTCAAAGAAGGTACGTGGAAGCTATCTAAAGGTTCCTTGGTTGTTGTAAGAGACCATATTTGTGGCACTCTTTATAAAACTCATGCAAAGTTGTGTCATCTGAGTCTCAATGCTGTTGAAGAAGAGATATCACCAAACTTATGGCACCGGAGGTTAGGTCACTTGAGCGTGAAGGGATTGACAACTCTTGCAAAGAAGGAAGTCATTTCCATGGGCAAAGGTGTTGCCCTAGATTCATGCGAGCACTGTCTATTTGGGAAACAATATAAGGTTTCCTTCAGTTCTACCAAGAAGAACCATACAGAGTTACTCAGTCTTGTCCACTCTGATGTATGTGGACCCATTGAAGAGGAGTCACTTGGAGGAAGCAGATACTTCGTGACATTCATTGATGATGCATCACGAAAGGTATGGGCCTACTGTTTAAATCGTAAGGATCAAGTGTTTGATCGATTCAAATCATTTCATGCCATGGTAGAAAGAGAAACAGGGAAGAAGCTGAAGTGTCTGCGTTCAGACAATGGAGGAGAGTACACTTCCCGAGAATTCTCAGCATATTGTGCCGCATATGGAATCAGACATGAGAAGACGGTTCCACGAACTCCGCAACACAATGGTGTAGCCGAAAGAATGAATCAGACCATTATGGAGAAAGTTCGTTGCATGTTGAGTCTGGCTAAGCTACCTAAGCCATTTTGGGGTGAAGCTGTGCTGACAGCTTGTTATCTTATAAACAGGTCACCTTCTGTTCCTTTAAACTTTGAAGTGCCAGAGAAGAAATGGTGAGGAAGAGATGTTTCATACTCTCACTTAAAAGTGTTCGGGTGCAAGGCATTTGCACATGTGTCCAAGGAGTTGAGACAGAAGCTTGATCTCAAGTCAAACCCATGTATCTTCATCGGATATGGAGATGAAGAATTCAGATACCGGTTGTGGGATCCCGAAGTGAAGAAAGTTATTCGAAGCAGAGATGTTGTATTTCATGAAAACGAGTTTCATGGGTGTGCTCCAATAATCCGCCAACAACATACTCCAGAAGACGAAGTGCCTGTATCATCAAACATTCCTCTCAGCGACGAGGAGATGCATGATTCTACTGAACACGAGAGTGATGGTTCAGCAGGTGATGATGATACTCACAGTGATGATATTCCTCAGCGGGGGGAGCCTTCATCTGAAGACGAATCTGAAGGTATTCATGTTCGACGTTCTATGCGAGGCATAGTTCCACAAAGAAAATACTCCACATCCGAATGGATACTTGTTGCCAGCGAGGGGGAGCCAGCGAGCACCGCAGGAACGAGAGAAATAAAGAAAAAGGTGGAGGGGGAGATTTGTAGGTATCTTCCACCTTCTTTCTTGGAAGTTGCCAAGAGACACCTTAACATGGAGGCACCTTCTTGGAAAGAGCTCTCCAACAAATAGGTGTGGGGGAAGATATGGAGATAACTAGGAAGCTTGGATGCAACTTCCTCATGTCTCCAAACCAGCCCTATAAATAGAGTGCTCCATTGTTGTTCATAGTATCAGTTTAGAAAGTGAGAAAAGTGTGTGAAGAGTGAAATACACTTAGTGTAGAAGTGTATTGGTGAGGATTGGTTTTTTGTAATAGTTGAGTGTGAGAGTTTGCTCCTCCTATTGTAATTCTGTTCTTGATATTGAATAGAAGAATTTTCCAATCCCAACAGCTATTGCCGGAAAGTGTACTTATCAGGGGAAGTTCTTAAATCGCAAATATTAATTAGTTAGAGGACCGAATTTGCAAGTGACTAAAATTACGAGACTAATAATGATAAAGGCCAAAAGTTACGGGATGAATATTGCAAATTTCCCTGCATGAACATGCATGTAAAGACGACATTGCGGTTCCAATAAGTTCATGTGCCGCATTTACCCATCTTGATTGTGTTAATTTTTCTTTTAAAAAGATGATTGTTCCTATTTAGAATTGTCCAAATGATCACATAACTGGACGTAGAATCAGAATATGCATATGATCCATCCAAATTCAACACTGGTTGGCTCAACTTTGGAAAATATATTTAATTTTCACGTACACTTAGAGTAATCAGGTCAAAATTGGAACCGAGTCTATCCCGCTCCCTTAGAAAAAGCTTTGGATCCGCCACTAATCTCAGACTACTGGTTTGAGGAGCAACAAATCTACTCACATGAGTAATTCTTGTCGTATACAAGAAAGAACCGTTTTTTAGGAGTTCAATAGGTTATCCAGAACATAACCCGGATTTATGGGGTCCTGGATTTTTTAAAATTTATTGTATTATATAGTAATCAGTAAAATATAGTAGTAAAGAAGAAAAATATAAATTCATCATTTGTTTGTTGACCCTCTTACTCTTTTAGTTATCTTTTAATGATTATTCAATTGATTTGATTATACGTATTTGGATTGAGTTTTTTTAAAATTGTTTTATATTAATGCGGTCCGGGGCCTAGTTTTTACATTTAGAACTGGAGCCTTCAAATTCATTAGATGACCCTCACAAGAAGTATACATTTTTTGTACACTCATTTGTCTACACGGGTAATTATAGACAATCCATACTAGCATTAGTGTCCACACGAATAAATGTCCATTTAGTACTCTCAACTCCTACCTCCACTCCCCTTTCACTACTCTTCGCTTCAGTTAACATTTTTATGTTCTAACCTAGAGAGAACCACATATGACAAAAATTGTGTTGAGATTAAACGAGGTTTAATTTGAATTTTTCTCAATAAGAAGAATGGAGAAGAGAAAACTGAAAGTAAGAGTGAAGAGTATAAACGGGCATTAATTTGATTTCACCCCAATTTATTTTAATGAACATCGTTGCTAGCTAGTTCGGATTATCGTGTGAAAACTCTAAGTACGGAGTACTACTGTATTATTATTGTAGAATCCTCAAAGATATGAATTATTCTTATGAATTTAACCAAAAAATAACGTAAAACTTAACACAGCTAGCCCTCAGTTTATTTTTATACTCCACGGTGTATTAGAGATCTTGTATACAAATAGAATATTTGTACACCATAATAAGTAGTCCGTATTCAAAAACCATACGGAGTATTTCAGTGTTTCAGGAGGCAGTATACTGATCGAGAGAAGACAATAAAGCGAGGCAGAGGTAGCTAGCTAGCGAAATAAAGAACAGATGGCAGACTATAGGGCTGGATCGATCAACAGAGCAGTAAATGGCAGTAATACGTAGCTACTTAAAAGGCAGATTGGATAGAGAGATGACCTTTTAGCTACTGTACATTTTTTTTGATCGTACAAAAACAAGTAATATTCTTTGGTCCCACAGAATTTAAACTCCGCGCGATCGAATTTGCCTAAGTTCGAATGGACTAAGCAAATACGAGCTTAGCAATGTGTTTTTTCACTAAATACACCATTTTTTATTTTGGAATTATGTAATAATAAGAAATAGTAAAATTACGATTATTTTTCTGGAGTTATTGTAGATTATCACTTTAGATATTTTCTGGCTCTAAATGATTTTTACATTATTCCTTGGTCAATGAGAATCAAATTTGACCAATGATATTATTTAGAATTTGAAAATTATATCAAAATATTCCTTATTCAAAATATTTTCATAAAAGTATGAACTTTATAAATAATATATAAATATAATAATTAAAATCATTGTTCAAATTTGCCATCATTAACCAAGAAAGTCAATATGGTGAAACTTTTCGGGACAGAGATAATAATATTAGCCATATAAAACCACTTTTCTTAATAGTGGTGCCAACTATTAATGTACCAATATACGAGTATGACTTACTATTGATGACTAGTAATAAATTTTAACTTTTTATTGATAATAAATACTTCCTCCGTTGTTAAATAAATGCAACGGTCAATATTTCGCATTCGCCGAGACACAACTTGATCATTAATATATATATATATATATATATATATATAATTCTGTATTAGAAAAAAATTAAAAAATTAGATTTTGAAAAGTTACAATGAGACAAATTTAACAATATTTTTTTCATAAAAATACATTAATACATTAATAAATAAAACATAGTCAAAGTACAACATGTGAATAGTGTAAAATTCAAATGTTGCATTTATTTAAGAACGGGGGTAGTATATGAGAGAGTTCGAATAAAAGAGACATATGTGTGCAAAGATAAAAGTGAAAAATAATTGCAAATATTTTTTGTGTACAGAAAATATAGGGAACTAGATTTAATTTATTAAATAATTGCAATATTTCTGTGTGCATGGACCTACATTTTCAAATATTTTTTATTATTACTTCATTTGGGATTAGTTTCAATCAAGATGTATTCCCTATGTTTACCATGCATGTATGTTCACTTTGAAACTAACTGCTTATTATGCTCACTAAAGCGCTTTCTTCATAGCTACTCCGTATTTGGTACCCTCAAAGTAAGGTACTTTATCTATGTGAACCGATTAGAATATTACAATTGAATAATTTAAATATTAAAAAGTGATAGGTAATAAAACAATGTATTGTTCTCTATGTACTACGTATTAAGTTTCCCAAATGGTCAAAAAAATGTACTACCTCCATCCCAATTTATTTAGCCAAACTTGACTTTTCAAGTCAACGGTCTCTAACTTTGACCAATTATTTAAGCTAATATATTTATGCAAAATTTAATAATTTTATACTTTTATGATAGTCTTTTTAATAAAAAACATTTTCATATCATTTTCATATTATCAATACTTTCTCTATATAAATATATAATCAGTCAAAGTTAGACATTGTTAACTTGAAAAGTCAAGTTTGGCAAAGTGAATTGGGACGGAGGGAGTATTAAGTCTCCCTGGCCTTTTTGTATTAATTTCTTTGTATAGAGTGGCTTAGTTTAATTTCTGATCAACTGTATAGTATTAGTATCTAAATCGATCTGGCCGGGCATGTATACAATCACCTTAGTATATGAGTTTTTTATATATTCAAGATCATTAATACAATAATATCTTTCAGAACAGTATGAAATATATTGTTTTATTATGTAAAAATAAGGATGAAACTAAAAAGAAGAAAACTTTCAGAAATATTACTTCTGAAAAAGTGATGGACGAAAATGTGACTTGATAATTTTTAGTGACTATAATTGTGTTCAAAGTTACTATAACGTAATGACTATGATGTAAATTGTGAACACAATTCTAGTCACTAAAAGTTACTAGGTCACATTTTGTCCATAACTTTTTTTTGGTAATATTTTAGAAAAAACCTAAAGAATTTTGTTACGAATCATTTTCAAAAATGTTTATAATTTATTCTTATGCTCTCGGATTTTGTTGAAAGTAAATATGGTACGGTGTTTTTGAGTGTTACAATGTCCTACTAACAATGATACAATTAAGCTAAGGTTATACAAAAGCGTGAATATGATAGACATGTGTTATACACTTATACCCACTCTATCTCTAGCTTATAATTTTGACAAATTTGACTGATACATGAAATAGTACGTAGTAAAATAAAAATTATGTAATTGAGATTTGTAAATAATATTCAAAGCATATAAATAGTTAAACTCATTTATTAAGAAATACTACGATACTAGTATATATGAGAAAATTTAAATTGTTGCATCTAAAATATAGGAAATATGATGCTTGTAAGAGTTGTAACTATGTAACTATACAAGTGGATGTGAAGTGTTTTAACTTTTTGCGGACCGAAGAAGGAGATCTCAACAATATAATGAGCTTGAGGAAACATTTATATATCGGTACTTTTTTCTAATCGAAATATTGATCAAAAAAAGTGGAATCTCCCACCCTGACCCGACAGGATGGTGGGGAGATTAGTCATGGTGATTCAGTCAGCAGGCAGTAGGTCCAGCCTTACTTCAAGTTCTGTGACCTCCACCCGGTCGCTGCGGGGATTCGAACCTTGGTCCATTGATCCAAATCTCCCACCACTCGACGAACTGAGCTACTCGTGCGGATTTTCTAATGGAAATATAAGTGGATGTGAAGCGTAGAATCGCTTAGTTTCAGCAAGATTTAGTGTCTATATTTATATATCGGTACTTTTTTTGAATGGAAATATTTATATTTTTGTATTATTATTACCTATGAATTGCAACTGAAAAACGAAAAGATTGATAAATAAATAAATGTGTCATCCTATGGTGCTTTTAAAAATTTGGAAGGTATGGTGCATCTCATTGTGTGGGCAAATGAAATAGTGACACATGAAAATAGTGGGACATGAAATAGTGTCATTAATGAATTGACTTGGAATGCTATTGGGTGAGAAAGGCAAATGTATGGTACACTCCAAATTTGAAGAGGTAGCATAGAAATCTCCTAAATAAAATCTGATTTTACATGTTACGTTCTTTAGCTTAATTAGCTCATCAAGCACATTCAATTCACAGTCTTCCCTTGATGAAGGATCGGATCTACATACATTATCTAATGATGATACTATACTTCACACAACAAAGACCACAAGATGATAAGTTGATTATTGAAATGTAACAGAAACAATAAAAGATAAAAGAAAAAATTGAATCATATTTTTTTCCGACCATATTTATCCTCACCCCGCCCACCTCGGCCGGCCGGCCGGCCGGATTACGGCATGTTATAAGTATGATGACCATTCATGGTAGATGATGATGACCATGCTTGAAAGCCATTATTGTTCCAATTGCTTGTAGGGTTTTCATTTTCATTCACATTCCCATTCTCATTACTATTTCCGCTTGGATTTATAAACTTTTCAAAAGAAGCGGTGGTGTCAAGAAGCCATTCAGTCTCTAATAAGTTCCCGCCGCCTCCTTCTGCGGCGGTTTCCGGCGGGGGAGCTCTCAGAATATTCTCGAGATTCTGAAACAACATAGGTTGGGGTTTCTCTTTCTCCCCACCGTAGAACATTGCAAATCGTTGTTGCTGTAGTTTCCAATGAAGCTCTTGGTTGATTGAGCTCAAGGACTCGATTGAAGATGCTAGATTTACATTTGCACCCATTTCTTGAAACCCTGCGCCGCCGGCGGATGTCTTGTTTTCTCCATCTCTTTTGAGTACATTACAAGGGAAACTAAAGTTGAAGCCGAGTAGAGAAGAAGTAATACCCGGCGGCGGCGGATCAAGATTGAAACAAGCTGGGATCATTGACGCCGAAGATTGGTTGATCATGGGAGAAGAAGAGGAAGCGGAGAAATGGTAATTGAAAACGCCGCCGCCGGTGGCCGGAGATAGGTTAAGGGCCGGAACGGGCGCGAAGCTCAGCGCGCCGATTTGGAAATCCATGGCGGGAGTCGACAGATGGCTGTTAAGGAACTTGAACCGACCCATATCCACCGACGAGGGAAAAGCCGCAGTTGATGAAGAGTTGCCGCCAGAAAGCCTCGACAAGGAAGGCTTCACCACTTTCTTGTTTTTCCGGCAGCCGCCGCCGATCGGGACGCTCCGTAAAGCTCCACCTCTCGTCCAGTACCTTCTACAAGTCTTGCAGAAGTGCCTTGGCTGGGAAAGGCTGTAGTTGTTGTAGTAGCAAAACTTTGTGTTTGGAGAATCACATCTAGGGCACTTCAAAGCCGCTGCCGCCCCCGCTGCCGCCGCAGCTTGTTCTAGATGCGGCCTACTCGCCGGCGGATGCGGTGCTTTCCGTCCGCCGGAGCTCTGCCGATGGCCCTCATTTTCGGGGTGATCTCCCTTTTGTGATGATGATGCCATTGGAATACTAATTAAACTTGATTTCTTATGATCTGAGATAGAAATAGAAAGCTAGCTAGGCTGGCTAGCTAAGAAACCCTAGCTAACAAGGAATCAACATAAGATCTAGAGAAGATGAGAGGTGGAGGGTTGTAATTTAAGGAAGGGAAGTAACCTTCATGAGAGGGAAAGGTGGTTTTGAATGTTATATAATTGAATGATTTCATGCACGGGCGAGGTTAGTATATATGTGATGCATATGAGAGCTAGGCCAGATGTTGATGGATGGGTTCTTGTGATCTTCATCAAGAAAAGTTGTCTCTGGGCTATTTGGGAGAAATTAAGTAAACTAAAGATGGTTTGGGGTAGATCTGATCAGAGGATGGAATAAATAAAGCACCATTTTGATGAGAGAGACATGACAGATCTCACTAGAAGGATAGCTAGCCTGGGCTATGCATGCATATTCTCATGAAGAGAGAGAAGGCCAAGGAGGGGCACAACTCATTTTAGATCTTGTCACACAAAAACAGAAACTCCTTTGTAGATTGATATGATGACGAATTATATTTGCAATAAAAAAAACGGTATATCTACTCATCATCTAGGAAGTTATATTTTTAACTAAGCTATTGTTAATGCCCCACCAAATCACACCACATTAGCTTCAGGCAGATTACAAGAATAATAAAATAAACATACACTAGAGTGTTTATGATCATCAGATTAGATCTAAAGAAATTAAATCAAATCAGACCAAACATAAAACATCTTTAGCGAGTATACAAAAATAAAATTGTCTTTTATATAACTATACCAAAATTACCAAGTTTAACTATGTATTCTCACCTATGGTGCACCCGATATTTCACCCCGATATCGTATCCGCATATCCGATACTTATCTGATAACGATACTCATCGATACGCGTCTTGTACGTATTGGGTTCGTATCCGTAATTTAATAAAAGTATGAACTTATTTTTAAAAATATGGAAACTTCGATACCCGTATCCATGAATCAATACGCGTATCTGACCATATAATCCTGATTTCATAAGTGACATGATGAAAATTTAGTAGCCGTCAAAGCGACTACAAGATGTGGATCGGAACATTAGTAAAGATGACCTCGGAAGTATAGAAAACATTGGAATGCTATAATTTGCCAATTTATCACTTGATGAGCATTATTTAAAATCAGTCTTGTTAAAAAGACTTAGATGTAAATGCAAATAGAAAACCAAAAATATTATTTGAATTTAAATCGAAATATTAGTACATTAACTTTTTTAGTCTAATCTTTGAAATTTTATTGTAATTGTTAATTTTTCGTAACATTATTATTTTACTTATGAACCTCTCAATTATACATATTTACAAATTATACCCTATATTATCATTATTTATAAATATACCCCCGTACCCGTATCCTACTCCTTCCGTCCCTTAAAACTTTGCCAAGTTTGACCGTATGATGATTAATAAAGTAAAAACTGTGTGGTTGAGGTTTGTGTAGAGGAGAGAGAATTAATTGAAACCATAAATTCTTTACTTAAAAGAAAAAGTGACAAAGTTAGTGAGACATCCAAAAGAGGAAAGTTTGCAAAGTTTTAATGGTGGAGGGAGTATAATTTTTGAAGTTTCGGTACTCGTACCCGTATCGTCGTACCCGTATTCGCGTATGTGTATCCGTGCAACATAGATTCTCACATACCTATACTCAAATCTATCTGTATCCGTGCAACATAGATTCTCACATACCTATACTCAAATCTAAATGATAACATTATGTGGTGTGGTAATTTAATATGGTGTTAAAGATCATGTGAATTGCTAATTGAAATTATTTTAAAATACTAATTCTACGATTTATTGTATCATACACAAAAGTTAGACTAATGTTTTATAAATATGACTTTTTGATAGTACTAGTATATTATGGATATGAAATTAAGAGAAATGGTGTAAATTAGGGCCGAGTAAAATAGTTTGATTCAATTGAATCGAACCGACCAAATTATAAATTGGTACTTTGATTTGGTTGTGTACATCCACTCAAGTAAATTGTGTGGTAACAGTATGCTTTATCAAACCGACTTGAAGATTATTTATATTAATTAATAAAATATTTTTTATTTGTCTTAACTAGTCATCTTTAATTAGGGTATAATTAAGTAAACAACTTAGATAGGACAAATATATGTTTAACATATACTCGGTATCATCTTTAGGGCTGAGCACATCTCTAAGACCAGACCATACCGGACCAGAATGAGTTAGATCAGAAACGGAATTCTAAAAAAATGCATCGAAGACCAGACCTATATAATTCCGGTCCAGGACCGGACCAGATCAAATTATTCCGGTTTTTCTGATCCGGATTGATATTGGACCGTATATTTAAATTTATTATTTTTACAATGTTTCATCTTTTACAAAAAAATAGTTTTGATTGTCGAAAATTTACTTATTAGCTCGTTTTTTCTATTACGGAGTATTATTTTTGATGTTTTATACGAAGTATGTGATTATTTTTAATTTATTCTTTTATAAGTATGATTTGTATTTTTCATGTCTCTTTCAATTAATCAACATTACATACATTAAATACGTAGAAATAAACATACAAACTATGTCCAATGAAAATATGAAAAATAAGTGATTCAATTTTGGCTCCAAAATTTTATGCAATACTGTATTAGTACGAGGAACTAATGTTGCTTGCTCGATTAATTTAATGAATGATTTGATTCAATAGTTTTGCATATTTAATTTAACAATGATAGATTGAATTAATCACACTATGTATTATGATTAAAACAAGTAAAATTAAATAAGTAAATAAAATGCACCATTATAGCTCCTAATGTTTTTTATGCTACAAAATTAAATTTTTATATATATGTAAATAATAATTCGTATGTAACTGGAGTTAATGTCTAAGGTATTATTGTATCACTTAATTCATGTATTTTTTAAAGTAATTTAATAGAGGTACTATGTATGTGTTTGTGTATATGCAATTTTAATACATATAATATATAAGTAAATATATGTTTATATATCCATATTTATAATAATTTAATTCTGGTCTAACATGTCTGGACCGGAATATTTCTGGTTTTTGACCGGACCGGAACCTGAATTAGTAAAACCTTTGGACCGAATATCGGACCGGTATCTATCCGGTACGGGTTCGGTCTAAACCGACCGGTCCGATTCAATTCACTTTTTCGGTCCGTGGCCGGATTATGCTCAACCTTAATCATCTTAGCTGTTACACAATATTTTATACTTTCAATATAACAAAGTTAGCTAATAAAACATACGTAGTACTATGTATTTGTTATATTTTGGTATGAAATGATGATTTAATAATGATAATAGCAAATTGTGTTTACATCAATTTCGGATAATATACATTTCACATGATTTAGTTAAATAAAAATATGAACTTTACAATATTTTTACGGCCTACTCATTTAATTTCCTTCAAATATTTTATACTCCGTATGATGTTATAAATAGAAAGGGTGCCGAGAAAAAAGCAAAAACAAATAGTTTTTGAAGAAAGGATATAAACTACAATGATTAATGTTAAAGTCCCACACCGGTAATTTAAGAAGCAATAGAGATATATATTAAGATCTGGACTACTCCTTCTAACAGGTTGACCTTTTAGGATGGAAACTAGCACTAGTGGAAAAACGTTAAACAGAGGCGCTTCATTTGAGGCGCTTATACATACAAGCGCCTCTATTGATTGTACGACTTTAATTTTTTATTTTTATTCAGATCCGTGCGGCGCTTGTTTCGTCCAAAACGCCTCCAAACTAATTTCCGGTCGCAATTTTTTTTAAAATTTGGGATACGTGCGGCGCTTCTAACGAACGAGCGCCTTTAACCGTTTTTATATTTTTCGGATCATCACGCGTGCGGCGCCTCTTACACCAAGCGCCTCTATCAAATAAGCTCATTTGATGCTTTTCAATCTGCTAACCCTAGCGCCGATCAAAACGATCGAATACAAATCGTAAGTCTAGCCCTTGCCGCGGCGACCAGAAGGAAAGTCCAGCCTCGCCGCCCGACGATGTGCTTGCCGCCGACTGCTGCGCCGCTGTCCACTGTTCTCCTAGCCGCTGCCGCCTACTGCTCCGCTTTCCGCCGCCGTCGATGGGTATCTTTGTCGCCGAGTTTGTTTGTCGCCCCCGCTGTGGATTCCAACTACCGTCGAGTGCTCACGGACGTCGGTAGATGTCCAACGCTCTCAAGGCCGCATGCTTAAGGTCAGTATATTTTTATTTAATTTTTAGCATATTTTTACTTTTTATATTACTTTTTTGGCAATTTTTGAATTTTTTAGCTATAAACTGACTATAATAAAGTGAATGTATTTATTTTCGGTTCAGCCGACTCACATCAAATTATTGATTGTAATATGAGTGACTATTAGTTGTGTTATGGTATAATAAATAAATATATCTCTTAAAGTAAATGCACTAACTTTTTTGATGAATTTTATTCATGTGAATAGGTTTTTGGAATTAAAATAGATTTAGTCATTCAATTTTGTCCTATAATAAATAATAATTGAACTCCATTATTATTATAATTTATTATTATTATTTGAAAATTATAGAATTTTTGGTTGAGTTGCTTAGTGTTTTGGATATATTAGACTTGTTTAATGTGTGCTGATATTTAATGTTTAACTCCATTTGGTAAATAATACACATGTTTACTTATTGCCTGAATATTTCCATTTTAGGTTCAGAATGACCATTTTGTTGATTTTTTTGCTCCTGAGTTAGACAAGACTGGTTATGAAGAAATTTTTAAAGGCAAAACTGCTGAGGTTTGTTAGGAGTCATTTGGTCTTGAAAAAATGTTGGGCATTGGAGATCGTTGCTTGTATAAACTGTGAAATTGCTTCTGGTGCAGGCATTTAATAGAAATGCTAATACAATTGATGGATGTGCCACACTTTTCTAACACGGTATATTTTCTCATGTTATGTGAATGTGTGCGTGACTTGTAGGGGTGGGTTTGCTTTTGGTTAGACTTGTAGGTGCAGATGATATAGAGGGCAAAAACCGTATCAATCCTTGTGCAGTTATCCATTTTATAGGAGAGGAGAGAAAGACCAAGGTGATAGGTACATATATTACATCCTTAGCTTCCTTAAACTCCCATGTTTTAAATACTTAGTCATATACTTCTGTTACTATGGCGTAATTGTTTATTAATGTTGTTAATTAGAGAATGCTGACATCTATATTTATGGAAAAACACATTTACACATAATTTGATCCAGAAACAATTTCGAAGTATTCTGTTGAGCCCAAAACCTCAATTTTTTATTCAGCTCTTGTACTTTTTGAATTAATCACATACCCCACTAAATCCCTTTCAAGCGTTTGGTTTTAATTTGTTAAGTCATGTGTCAATATTACTCTGTATGTATTAACTACTTTTGTTTAATATTGTGCTTATTTTCCAGTTCAAAATTTCAGTTATCATTTTATCATGAACGGGTCA